TTTGCAACAACGTGGATGGAGCTAGAGAGTACTGTGCTAAGCGAAATCAGTCAGTCAGAGAAAGACAAATACCATATGATTTCACTCGTATGTGGAATTTAAGAAACAAGTGAACGTGGAGGGGGTGGGGAAGAGAGGAAAACCAAGAAACAGACTTTTTTTTTTTTTTTTTTAAGATTTTATTTATTTGACACAGAGAGAGACAGCGAGAGCAGGAACACAAGCAGGGGGAGCGGGAGAGGGAGAAGCAGGCTTCCCGCCAAGCAGGGAGCCCGATGCGGGACTCGATCCCAGGACCCTGGGATCATGACCTGAGCCGAAGGCAGACGCTTAACGACTGAGCCACCCAGGCGCCCAAGAAACAGACTTTTAACGATAGAGAACAAACCGATGGTTACCACAGGGGAGGTGGGCGGGGGGAAATGGGTTGAATAGGTGACGGGCATTAAGGAGGGCGCTTGTCAGTGATGAGCACCGGGGGTTGTATGGAAGTGTTGAATCACTAAACTCTACACCTGAAACTAATATTACACTGTATGTTAACTAACTGGAATTTAAACAAAAACCCGAGGGGGGAAAAAAAAAAGTTTGAAGTAGTACTTAAGACGTAATGTTTTGGCTTAAGGGGAAAAGCCTTCACAAAAAAAAAAAATACGGTATTTAAGGAGTAAACTGTCCCTTGATGTCAAATATTCACTCATGGCGGAGGACTCCCTTCTTCCTACATAAGATAAATAAGTTAGAAGTTCGATGGGAGCCTGGGTGGCTCAGATGGTTAAGCCTCTGCCTTCGGCTCAGGTCATGATCCCAGGGTCCTGGGATCGAGTCCCATATCGGCCTCCCTGCCCAGCGGGGAATCTGCTTCTCCCTCTGCCCCTCCTCTCCCCTGCTCATGCTCTCTCTCTCTCTGTATCTCTCTGTCCCAAATGAATAAAAAGAAAGAAAGAAAGAAAGAAAGAAAGAAAGAAAGAAAGAAAGAAAGAAAGAGAAAAAAAAATAAGTTAGAAGTTCGAAAAAAAGTATGTTTGGGCTTACTTTAAAAACAGGGAAAACCATAAAACAAATAGAAGAGTGGGCTCTAGCGGCCATAATTAAAATATCAAACATACAGAAAAACAGGAGAAAGACAGTCCTCTCCTCCAAACGGGAGTATTTTTGTTGTTGTTGTTCTGAACGATTCATGAAAGGAATTTCAGTAACTTAGAAAGAGAATACATCTAGCCGATTTATTCCAAACTAATTCTCAAACAACTTCATGCTTGTGAAATCAAATGTTTCCAGTTGAAAATTTCACGTGGTTTTGCATGTAAAAAGTGCACCAGAAAAGACAAGGCGTGAGAATGAATTGTTAACGTTTTTAGATGAGCATACAATCAACTTTCCATATACTCACTGAATATCAAACTTGCAAAACAAAACTTTCTAGGTAATTAATCTCTAAAGATAGGCATGAAATATTTAAACCACAGGTAACCAAGTACATGTATATGTTAATAAAATACTTTTAATCAATGCTAAGGGCAGGTGTCATTTAATAGTGGACCCAAATCAATTAAATGACATTTTAATTTTTTTGGTGGGAATGGCATATTCACAACTCCATGTCTCACAAGTCGACATTTACATATCTTACTCAGTTGTCTTAATGACTTTAAGCAGTTTCATTTATTCTGGGGCACAAACTTAAGTCGCTTTTAATAAATTTTGTACTTCTGTGGAGTAGATTGTACTTCAAATCTTATTTTCCTTAGAATTGGTTCTTTAACTTAATGAGTATATGCAAAAGGGTGTATTCTTTCATTATTTCTTTTCTTTCAGAAAGAGCAACGTAACCCTCTATGATTGTACTTTCTATCTTTGGGGACTGGTCCAGATTCGCTGAAGCAAACTTAAATGTAAATCATCTTTCTTGCTAAAATTTAATTGACAGTGTTAGGGAGAAAAAGTCACCATTACTACCAAAGGTCTGAACGTTTCCTGCATATAACTTTGGAATTACTGCTACTCACATAACTGTTTAGGTCTCACTTGGGTTTACACAGAAAGAGGGCCTTGCACTCAAACAAGCCAATGAGTAACAAGATGTAATCATTTAAACTAGAATTGTTAGACCACAGTTATCAGGTTACTTAGTCCTTTCTTCAAATGTCATCAAAATAACGGAGAATGAAGAGACTTTTGAAAAATTGCCACCTCTTGTTGCTGCTATTAAATGAAAGGAGAGAATATACTTGTTCAGTATTTATATAAGGATTATGCATATAACAGCAAATAGACTATTTCAATGTTTAAATCAATCCTTAGTTTTCACCTTTAAATATCACACTACTTACATGTTCCATCATAAGGTGTTTTTGCAACATGGCCATTTCTTTCCTAAGTTCACTCTGTTCACCAGTAAGAAAATTTTCCCGATTCTTCTCTAAGTCTTCCACACTCTAAAACAAAAAGCCTAGTCCAGTTACAAACCACCATTTTTCTTCCTATGTTCAAAACATGCAAAATTAAATTTCAAAAGTACTACAATTTTTTAATAGTCCAGTGATGGCCATTATCTATTTGAAATAAAAAAAAAAAAATTCTAAATCACACACGTAGACAAAAACATTCACTAAGGAAAAATTTAAATATCAGATTCGAGTGAAATATTATTATTATTATTATTAATTATTAATTATTATTATTTTAAGTGGGCTCCACTCCCAACACGGGGCTTGAACTCACAGCCCTGAGATGAAGACCCGAGCTGAGATCAAGAGTTGGACGCTTAACCGACTGAGCCACCCAGGTGCCCCAAAATAGCCTTATTTTAGGAGACACAATTACAGTACACTTTGCTCAAACGTCAAGCAGTTAAGGTCGAGGTCAAAATGGACCCCCAAATAGAAAAGGACTGGGAGTCCATATCAACGAATGCTATAATTTTGAAATCCAGTAATAAGCTTTCTAACACCAGGTAATAACACATTTATTATCAGTAATAGTCAGCGTAACATGATTTCCTTAGAGGGAATAAAATGATCTGCGATGGGACCTCTTCAAGTTATGAAAAACACAACCTACGTTGTAAATTTTGCCATTCATTCAACAGGTGGTGAAATAGTGCATACCGTGTAGAAGGTACCGCGTTGAGTACTGTGGAGGAATTTAGAAATGAATACACAGTCTCTTCCATAGTCCCGTGCCAAGAGCAAACATAAACAGAAATGAGACAGAAATTTTATGATAGTTACAGAAGCACAACTTGTTGCGGCTACATAGCAGAAAAAGGAGATTAATGCCGACACGGTTGGCGAAAGAAAAAGATTTCAATAGGTGAGGATAAGGAAGTTAAAACCACTTCCAGGGGAAGGACATAAGCAAAGCGTGGAAGTTAATAGTTAGTTTAGACGAAGCATTTGTCAGGAAGGGTGGGACTAAAGACAGGATGTAGCAAACAAAGCTAAAAAGGGCATCATGTTATGGTGAATCTTTGAATATCTAAGACTTTAGAAGGGGAAACGACTGACAGGCTTTCAGGAGGGAAGAACAATCTCGTGGGAAGATAGTACCGCAGGCCTACGAAGGACGGAGAGATCAGATGAGAGAGCGTAACAGCAGGAGCGAGGGACGACGAGGTCCTCAACTAGGGCTGTGGGAATTCGGAGGAAGCAGTGGGAATTCGGAGAAAAAGCATTTAAAGTACCATTGCAGAGGTAAGTATCACACAGCCCGACAGTAACTGGAGGGGAAGGGGAAGGAAATGCAGGAGTCAAGGAAAACACTAAACTTCCAACCCTAAGTGGTTGCACTGGGCAGTAACATTTAGAAGAAATAATTTCTGTTACTTTATGAAACCTCCGCACCCATCAATAAAATGGTCTTCACAGAGCATTAGAGCAACACGCTCTCTACTTGGAAACAATTCTAATAGAACTATTTTGCATATGTGTCATTCTAAGATCCTTTAAAGAATACTTATTTTGAAATTATATTACTAGTGCTTAAACATTCCAGTTAGTTTAGAAGAGTGACTTTTTACCATGTACTTGAGCAAGATTGTTTAAAGAACAAATCACATGATCATCCCCAAAGCTGCAGAAAAAGTATTTGACAAAATTCAACACTCTCTCATGATAAAAACTCTCAACAAACTAGGTACCGTAGACACCTACGACAAGCCCACAGCTAACATACTCGATGGTGAAAAACTGAAAGCTCTTCCTCCAAGATCAGGAATAAGACAAGCTCGCCCAACCTCACTACTCCTACTCAACATAGTACCAGAAGTCCTAGCTGGAACAATTCGGCAATAAAAGGAAAGAGAAGACATCCAACCTGGAAAGGAAGAAGCCAAATTGCCTCCGTTCGCAGATAGCGTGATGTCATATGTAGAAAACCCCAAAGACTCCACACACGCAAAAATCCCTGTTCAAACTAATAAGTGAATTCAGCAAAGTTGCAAGT